ACATCCAGGAATGGAACGCTCACTCCCCAGTCCGTTCCCTGGTTGACAGTTCTGATGGAGAGAAGATTTTTCTTTGTATTGAACTGAAACCTGCCTCTGAGGGCTTGCGCCTAACTGTTCTACCCCACGAGGACCTACGGAACAGCTTAATACGTATTCCACAGAACAACTCATAACATTTTGATCAAAATCATTTCCCTTTCTGGGAAGAAGAAAAAAAAGCCTAAGTGCCTGACTCACCTGATTCGTAACAAGCTGAGTGATTTCTTTAATGAAAGATGAAAATAATGGTGAATATTTGAATAGTAACTAGGAAGACACAAAAATGGAAAAACGTTGGTAGATAAAATTTAAACCTTTGGCAGAACACCATTGGTTTTATGTTCTCTATATTTTTTCTGGTTTTCTGCACTATGTGTGTTACTTATATAAACACACCACTATGAGGAGCAGCTCCTGGCTTCCCCACAGCACATGCTCACACGCCACAAGCACTCACTTGCCCGGAGGCTGCATCAGCTTGATTCAGATCTTGCTCTCATTTCTCTGCTGACCTATGAAACATCTGGCTAAATGGATATAAATTAGAGATTTTACAGTCTATCAGTCAGTGAGTCTCCATGGGATATCCTGGCCAATTTAAAGATAGAAATACTACGAAAATAGGGCACAAAAGTGGAAGAGAAAATGTCCAATTCCTCTTGATATTTATGCCACTAGAGGGAGTTTCAAAAGAAAAGTCTCTGCATGTGAGGGTTAATGACAGTACTTACTGAGTTGTTACTCTGTACCATCCACAGTTCACATGGACTCATTTATGTAATTCTTATCACGGCCCTGATGAGGTGGATGTTATTATTCCTCTGCTTACAGAGGAGAAAGCTGAGGTACAATGTGTATACTTGTACAAAGTATACAACTTTGTGCAGGGCAAGTTATCAATGTTGATTGAAATTACAAACGAATGTGCTCTTTGTGCCAACAATTCCAACTGTGTGGAAGGCAGAGTGAGGTTCATGGGTGTGAGACTAGGGCAGCTGCATGGGGCCCCATCCTTAAAAGAGGACACTGTGTTTGGGTTTTTAATACTCCGTGTCATCATCTTGAAATCCTTAGTAATTTTATCTTTCAGTTTGTGTTTTGTAAGTGAAGTCTGATGGGACAATGGAACGTGAGCTGGGGGCTAGGAGCCTAGTCTCAAGCTTGGTCCTGCTTCTCATACCTCCCAGCCTCCCCAGGACTGGTTTTCAGCTGTCTGCTCCTCCCCGCAGGAACCGTTGCCACCCTCTGTGCTACCCCCCTTCCAGGAGGAGCCTGAGCACAGGGGAGAGCTGGAGTCAGGCATGCACACCTCTCTTGCCAAGCTGAGGGGCAGGACCCCAGGCACTTGCAGAGGACTGCATTCACCTCCATTAGTACCCCTGTGCCTGAAGGAATGTGACATTAAATAGCAAAAACAAAGTCACCATGACATGTAGAGAGTGAAACTGCAGAAGAAAGGAAAAAACTTTTTCCCTGCTATTTGAACAAAGGACTCCATAGTTTCATTGTGTACTGGCCCCTCAAATTATGTAACTGGCCCTAGTAGATGGGTATTCATGGCCAAATTATATGTGAGAGCAAAAAGGTTGAAAACGATTGGCTGATGCTCATTGACTTGTGTGCCCTCAGATCACACGTAACTAGAATACAGCTGCAATATAACTGGAATATAACTTTCATGAAGGCAAGAACCTTATCTATCTTGCTGAAACTTTTATAATCAAGGCCTAATATAAAGCTTGACACATAACATTTGCTGTTAAATATTTATTAATTTATATTGATTGAATACATTTTTATTTCTATGTAGTAAAATAGATATTTTAAAACTGGAAACAACCTAAATGTCCTGGGAAACTAGTTAAATAAGTATAATACATTCATGCAATACAATATTGTGTAGCTGTATAGAATAACAAGAATGTTCTTTAGGTATTGATGTATAAAGATCTCCAAGGTAAATTGTTACCATTTATGTAAAAAAAAAAGCTGGGGGTGAGGAGTGGGGAAGGGAAGTGCTATAGTTGGTCCTCACTTGCGGTGACTGCCTCCTGGAGCTCCCTCTAGTGGCACATGTGTGTATATGAAAGGATTCAGAGAAAACAGGTGGGCTCTGGTTGGCTGTGAGGAAGATTTTTAAGATACGGTATTTTATACCTTTTGGCTTTTGAAACAAAAGCAAATGAACAAACAAATAAATAGGAATCAATTTTTAAAAGTACAAGAGAACTGTGTTATGTATTAACATGGAATTATGCATTAAGTAAAGAACACAAGAAGCTGAACAGTATGTCGGTTATCATTTGTGTGAGATGTATAGTTTATACATTATCTGGAAAAGCTCATGCAGCACTGTTATTGGGCAAATACCTGGGTAAGCCACCATTTATTGAGGGCTTACATATGGATAGCATGTTACTTAACGTACACATTCATTGTATTTACAGTATGTCACTTGGCATACCTGATTGTATACAAGCCTGTCATCAGACATGACGAGAGATGCATATTAAACAAAAATCACTGAGGAGAGCAACACACACAAGAAACAACCCGAGAATACTCACAAGATCACATAACAATTGCTACACAAAATCAATTAAAGTAATATTTAAGTGCTGAAGAAAATGACCAGCTCTGATCAACACAGGACAGTTTCACTTCTTAGACACATCCACATTGCGCTCCATGCCCCGCACAAACCTGGTGCTCCTACACCCCAGATTTCTGTAAATGGCAACACCACTGGCTTTGTTTTTGCTGGTGACACCTCTCCCTTTCCCTTGTTTACATAACCTTTGTCCAAAGATCATGTCATCAAAGGGACTTCTCTCAGCTCCAAGAATCCACCCCCTTTCCAGAGATCTGAGGCAGTTGAAGGCAGGGAGGTGAGGGGGGTGAGCTCTTCAGACGTTATTATGGGGCTAGAAAGCTTGGCTTCAAATCCCAGCTCGGCCACTCCCTACTGGCGTGACCTTGAACAAGTAACTGAATTTCTTTTGTGCCTCAATTTCTTCTTCTGTAAAATAAGAGTGATAACAGTTTAACATTTGTTTTGTCTTTGTGAGGACTGAACAAGTTCAGACACGTAAACCACTTAGAACAGTGGCACACGGAAGCTTTCAGTAAAGTGTTTTTTCAGAGATGCTGTGATTTCTCCAAAGTGGCTTTGATTGGCCAGCTCCTGACCCTCTCTGCTTCCCAAACCCTCCACACCACCATGATCTCCCATCCAGCTTTTGACAAATGGGCTGGTACCGGACAATTTCAAGCACTCTACAACCCCCAAACCCTGCCCAGGAAAGCATCTTGTGCATAACTCTCCTACCTGAATGTGTGTGATGAAGGAAGAGCATCACGGATATTTTAGGTTCTGAAAGGAGAGAACCTCCTACTTGAGAGGAAGTCAGACACGCGCAGAAGGTCCTCTTCCTGACTGATTCAACCCTTTTGACCTTGACTTTCACCCTCACAGCTCCAGGATACCCAATCTGCTTGTGCCCAAACTCCAGAAGCCTTGCAGGGGGAAAGAATAAGCAACTCCCAGACTGAGCTGACCACAGTCTGTCCTTCTAGCCCCTTGTGCTCCTCTCTGACAAAAGCAGAAAATGTGTGTCCCAGTCGTGTTCCCAGCCCTTGAACAGTGCTACCTAATATAATTTTTTGTGATGATGGAAATGGTCTATATTTGTGCTGTCCAATGTGGTAACCACTAGCCATATGTGCTACTGAGCATTTGAAACATGGCCAGTGCAAACAAGAAACTAAATTTTTAATTTTATTTAATTTTAATTTAAATGACCACTTGTAGCCAGTGATTACTGTCCAATCATCCCTCAGTATCTGTGGGGGGATTGGTTCCAGGACTGCCCACCCCCTTGCAGATAGCAAAATCCATAAGATGCATAATATTTGCATATAACCTACCCATATCCTCTTCTATACTTTAAATAATATCTAGATTGCTTATAATACTTAATACAATGTAAATGCTATGTAGATAGTTATACTGTATTGTTTAGGGAATAATGACAAGAAAAAAAGCCTGTACATGTTCAGTATAGATGCAACCACTGTAGGCCTTTCCATCTGGGGTTGGTTGAATCCTCAGATGAGGAACCCAAGGATATGAGGGGCCAACTTTTGGACAATATGGCTTTAAATTGTCCATCCTGACCCTTTTTTCTTATTTGATGAGACATCCTTGCCTTGTGATTGGGAAACATATTTTTCAAATGTGGTACTGATACTGGTCTCATCCTTTAGTAATCAGCTGAGTCCAGGGGTAAGAAAAAAGGTTGTATTTCCATTCCAGGTCTTGCTTTCCCCTGTGACATTGAGGAAATTAAAGAGTGATTCCCAGGCTGGAGGGATATGTCTTGATTGCTGGCCCTGTCCTCATGCCTGTGTGACGGACAGTCACTGATCCTGCTGATCTTCCTTCCTCCATCTTGCCTCTCGGAGCACAAGTGGCCATCAACTCCTGACTTTCAACTCATGACTTTCCTAAATGTATTCTTTGGGAGTGAGAAGCTAACTAAGCTGAAGCGACCCATCATACACTCGAACACAAGGCCAGGAGTTTGGATTTGCTGTAGGAGCAATGGAGGTTCTGGTAACGACAGTTATGAGACAGTAGGAATAGGAAACCAACTCTAAATGTTCTTTCTTTTTTAAAAGGCAACAATGATCCCTCTCCCTTGGCTAACACTGGGAGGAGAGGGGTTGAAGGAACATTACAAATTACATGGACAAGCCTGTTCCTGAGGTCCAGTGAGTGATCCGTCCCAACTGGTCAGATCCTAGAAGCCCCTTCAAAGTCTGGGTGGCCGGGAGGGAGTGGGGGAGGAAGGCTCAGTACCAGGCAGCCTCTGCTCCGTAGCTCTGAGGGGGTGGGGAAGGCAAACCCTGGTCATCCCCTCGGGTCTGTAGCCCTTTTGTGTAAGTGCCTGGCAAGGATGACGTGGGGCTGTTCCTCAGAGCACAGCTGCAGCACAGCCACTGGGAAGAGGCAGGGCCCTAGCAGCACTGCCCTCCCACATCCTCCCCTTGGGCTTTTTCAGTGGTAGGGGACATGCAACCCGAGGGCCTCTGCTTGGCCTGATCCTGACGCAGGGGCTCTCTGTCCCCACCGAGAGTGGAGATGGCAAGTTTATTGAGCTCCTCTCTGTCCAGCTGCCTCCCCTCCCTCCTCCTCTTCCTCCAAATGTCTTCCAGCTATGCAGGTAAGATTTATCTTCATTCCTCCCCTGGGGAGACCCTGAGAATAGAAAGGCTAGTTTCCCTCAGCTCACCTCCTTCAATTCATCCTCAAGTTGCCATGCAAGTTATCTTTCTGAAACATAGATGTGCTGACATGGTTCCCCTTCTCATAAACCTTCAGTGTCTCCCTACAGCCTTCAGAATAGAGCCCAAACTCCATAACATGACCTTGACTCAAGGCTGTCCTTGAACTCCTTCTTACCTATCTTTCCAGCTTTGATTTCTCACCCATCAAATGGGGATATAAAGATAACAACCATTTTGGAGTTGCTGTCAGGGCTTATTGAGATGAAGTATATAACGTGCTTAGTAGAACCCATGGTAAATCTTGATAAATGTTTTTTGAATTGTAGCATCTTGTGTTTGACAGTTCTGTCCCACATGATCAGGCACTAATAAATTAGTTTTTATAAAGGAGCCCTGCTCTCATGTGCTGGGGAGAAATAAAAGAAACAGAAGACAGATTGCTAGCCTTGGGGATCCACCTAAGAGAGTAAACCTAGTCCACTCACTCCCTCAGGAAATCTTTGCAGGTCTAATGGAGAAACCAGCCTTATCTTCTAGCAGCTCTGAGTCTGCCTGATGAGACACACCCCACATAGGAAAAAGACTGAAGCATGTACAGGGCAGGGTCCAGGAGCTGTAGGAAGGTTTAAGGTACGGCAGAAAAGAAGAAAGAAATAGAGCCACTTCTAGGGTGGAAGATCTCAGAGGAGAAGAATTTGGGAACAGAGTGGAAACAAGGACAGTGGGCTGAGAAGTGGTGGAGAGGTAGTGGTGGAGGAGTGATGAAAGCAAAATCTCTAAGAAGAGATCAGGGATCAATGTGGCCAAGTCTGAACAGGGAGCCCCATGGGAGAATTAAACTGAAAGATGCTAGACCACATTCCAAGGTGAGACCGAAATGCTGGGCTGAAGAATCAGAGATGGATACAGTTGGCAGACAGGTGAACAGCAACTGTTGAGATGATCACATGCTAAAATGCTTTGTCCAGGACACTCACAGTATCTCTATAAACGGAGACCATTTGTTTTAAGCTTAAGAAGAAAAATTGAGCTCTTCCTTCCCCAGCTCTAGAATTCCATTTAAAAATCAAGTGGCTTCTTCCTTCACTTTTTTGAAGCAGCTCTTCCCATGGCATGCTTGTTTGTCAAGGCTCCTTCTGATGCTCAGTTTCTTTTCTTTGGTGTCTTGGACAGGACAGTTCAGAGTAATAGGACCAGGGCATCCCATCCGGGCTCTGGTGGGGGATGAAGTGGAACTGCCATGTCGCATATCTCCTGGAAAGAATGCTACAGGCATGGAGGTGGGGTGGTACAGGCCCCCCTTCTCTAGGGTGGTTCATCTCTACCGAAATGGCAAGGATCAAGATGGAGAGCAGGCACCTGAATATCGAGGCCGGACAGAGCTGCTGAGAGACACTATTGGTGAAGGAAAGGTGACTCTCAGAATCCGGAATGTAAGGTTCTCAGATGAAGGAGGTTTCACCTGCTTCTTCCGAGACCATTCTTACCAAGAGGAAGCAGCAATGGAATTGAAAGTGGAAGGTGAGTAGAGCTTTATAGTATTAGGCATTCTTTGCTGGGTGCCAAGACCTTTTGAGACTTTAATCATTCTCTCAATTGAGATGAGATACTTCAACCCAAACATCTCACACTAGGGAACTGATTCCATAGAAATACATGCATCAGTACATAGGAATTCATATGCTCATGGATGTCTGTTGTATTGTTATTCAGAGTGGGAAAAAACTGGAATGAAAGTCAACGCTCATAAGTAGGAAAGTGACTGAATAAACATTGTTAGCCATACCATGAATATTATGCAGCTGTTAAAAAAGATAGTTTTAGGGCTATACCAGGTAGCTTGGAGGCATTCCACAAATTATTGTTAAGTGGTAAAAGCAAACTACAGAATGTAGAAAACAAAAACGAAACCTTAGGTTTGTGAATATATATATATATATATATTCAATATTGACATAGATATATTACAGAAAAAAAAATGAAAGGATGCCCATAAGAAAATTAGGTTAAGATGGTTCACTCTGGGGGAAGAGGAGAGAGGAGGGAGAATGGGGTGTCATCCAACAAAAAAAAAGGACCGTAATTATCCACATGATCATATTTATGCATTCTTATAAACATATATGTAATATGCATACTTGTGGGTACATAGAAAAATTAAAGAAAATTTTTTTAAAAAATAAAAGGAAACAAAAGCCAAAACAGAAAAAAATGAGAAATGGAGACAGCAAAATCCAAAATAATAAATTTCTGATAATTTGGTACTACTAGAGGGGAATGAGAGTAATCTGAAACTTAATCTAAGCATCCAAGGGGACTTCTTTCTGTTTTGCTTTAGAGTATCTTTTTGTTTATTTGTTTTAAACAAGGCCATTATTCCTAGTGAGTTAAATTGATCACGTCCTATTACAATGAATCCCTCATTGATGTGTTTGTGGTGTTTTATTAGATGAGAAACATTATGGAAAAATCCATTCCTGGAAAACATAGTCCAAGTGAATAAGCAAGTAAAACAAATGTCTGAATATAATCATAGAAAGAAAAAAGATATTTATAGATTTTACCTTCTATAGATTTTTCCTCCACTCTTCCTTTTTTCAGAGTTTTGTTTTCGGTATGTTTTGCATGACGGATGATTTATTTTTTTGTTTTATCTCAAGATGGTTAAGATGTGGACCAGGTGAAGCGGATGAATGGGGAGCTTTGAGAGTTCACTGCTATTTAGTTGAAGAACACAAATGTCCCGAGGGCCCAGCCTCAGGTCCTTTCCCTTTCCCTCCTCCCCACCTGCAGCTCAAACATCAGACAATCAATCACTTTTGTATCTTGAGGGCAACTGTTGCAGAGCTGGGACCAGAAGGTGGCATTGTATGCAGGATAACAAAGCTCTGTTTCTAGAGAGAGATCGCAGGGACATGAACATAGCCTTGTGTGTCACAGAATGTTCTTCCTACAGCTGTTTTTCTTGGGGGATTTTTACCTGCAAAGAAATCTGACATGAGGACCTCTCCAGTTTGCCGATTTTCATCTTTTCTGTTCAACAACTTCCTAGCTCAACAACTGCCTCTTAGTATACTCGCCACCCCCACCACACCAAAAAAAAAAAAAAAAAGAGGAAGAAGAAACTAAAAGCTTTGCCTCAGGGGAGAAAGTTTTCCCTCTGGGTTGGTTTCCACATTTCAACCCTCTTCCTCCCATCTCACAGTCTGCATGCCTAAGAGGCTAAAAAAGAGTGTTTTACAAGTAAACAAGGGACCATCTGCCCAGCCTGGGGAGCTAGGACAATGAGACAAATTTAGCATTGGAAAGCAGTAACTTTGTTGCTGCAAGTTTCAGTTGTAATCACTTCCCCCTTTTCTCTAGGTTTTTACCTTTCCGACTTTATTTTTTTCTTGTCAGTCTTGTGGTTTTATTACTAGTTGTCTCTAATCCTTTCTTTAAATTTCTCATTACGAAATTTGAAAACATATACAGAAGTAGAGAGACTGTTAGAATGAGCCTCCAAGCACCCATCATCTGTCTGCAACTGGTTATTGACACAGACAGACAACCATTTCACTTGACCCCACTCATTACCACCCTCCCCAACTGAATCTCTGAGGCAAATCCTAGGCAGCGTTATCATTTTATTGCTAAATCCTCAAGAATATATACTGAAATATAAGAACTCTTTTAAAAAGTCATAACCATAATACTTCTATCACATCTTTAAAAATTAACAAAAATTCCTTAATATCACCATTACTTAGTCTGTGTTCAAATTTTCTTGATTGTTTCATAAATATATTTTTACAATTGGTTTGTTTGAATAAGATCCACACGTTGGTGTTTGCCCTGTAGAGTTTTCCATGGTCTAGATTTTGCTGATTTCATTCCCATGCTGTTAACACAGTGCTCCATACCCTGTATTTCCTGTAAACTGATGAAGATGCCTGATCAGATTCAGATTTGATTTATTTTGTCAAGCATACTTCATAGGTGATGCTATATACTTTGTACGTTTTTCATCAGAGGGCTCATAACGTCTCGCTTTCTCTCTTTTTGTGATTCTAATCCTTTGTGAAAGTATAAAAGGTGTGCAAAAACAGAACTGAAGTGTGTGCTTGCTAAATCACCTTGCTACAGGTAACTTCCAATAAGAATTTGGAAAGTAGAGTTTGCTGCATTTTCTCCCGGGGAACATAATAACAGACAAGAGCCTTAAGTTGCAGCTTGAAAGATTGTATTTATACCCAAGAAACCCTCCTGAGCCAGTTTAATGTTGCTTGCTGTGATACGTAATCCCTAGGCTTATTGGTAATATCTTTATCTAGCCCCTAATCAGAGAACAAGATGAAAACGGCTTGGCGTGCAACATGATATACTGAGATTAGGCAGGTAGAGCTTCAGGGCACTGAGGAATAAGATACTAGAATGGGAACTAGGTGGGAGCTGGAGGGCTGAAAGTCATCCCCTCCCTCATTATCTGTCACACTCCATACCCTCTCACTTACTGAATCCTGTGGATCTTACTTTCTGAAACGATCCAGAATAGGGGTTCTGAACTTTTTTGGTGTCATGCATTCCTTTGGCGGACTGATGAAGTTGATGGACCCCCTTCTCAGAATGTCTTAATTGCGTAAAATAAAACATATTTGTACCAAAATACAGTTATCAAAATATTAAAATAACAAGATATGTGGTTGTCCTGATAATTAGTGTAATTTCAAAATAGTGATGAATATAAGCGATATTTTGAGGTTTCTGCAACAACTCTAATGTGTTACGAAAAATTTGTGGTTTTTATTGATGACAAAGTCAAAGATTCTGTTCATATTATTGTGGTGTGTTGCCTGCAAACATAATCTGAAAGAAATGCTAAATTTCAGTTGAAAGGTTACTGAAAGTATGTATTTTTTTCCTATTTAAGTTCATAGATCCCTTGACCTCCTACACCTCCACCACTGTCCTAGTTTAGGCTCATGCTGTTTTTCACTTTACCTATTACCATGGCCTCTTAACCCAACTCCCTCCCTCCTTCCTCTAGTCCTGCAGTCAGTAAATCGGATCTTGTCACTCCTCAGCTTGGAATCCTTCCATGTACCCCTGTGGCCTTGAGGATCAGATCTTAGACCCTTAGCTGGGTCTCAAAACTCTCCAAGACTGACCCAATATACAACCTTGACTCCCGCCATTCTAAACCACTAGCCATTCCTGGAAACAAACCCACTTTTTCTTCAAGACTAAGCTCAGGTGTCAATTCTGTGTCATCTTCTTTGGACCTTGGTGATATTAGTTCCTTTATTCAACTCAATTTATGAAGCCCCAGGCACTATGCTGGGTGTTGAGGATACAGCACGGCCCATGTGGTCCTTGCCTTTCAGATCCCTTCTACTGGGTCAGTCCTGGAATGCTGGTTCTCATCGCAGTCCTGCCCGTGCTCCTCCTGCAGATCACCGTGGGCCTCGTCTTCCTCTGCCTGCAGCGCAGACTGAGAGGTGCAGACTGGAGGGTGGGCCCCTTGGGATCCTTCCTTGAAATGAGCTGGCCTCTCAGAGCTTGGTCAGCTAATAGTGATTTTTTAGTGACTTCTGGGTTCAGAACTCCATAATGACAAGTTTTACACCTTACCAAATACTTTCATTTAGATAATAGGACCTTGCATTTTCCTATGAGGAAGGGCTGACATAAAATAGCCCCATTTTACAGAGGAGACAACTGAGGCCTGGAGTGGTTCAGATTTACTCAAGCTGACACAGCTTATAAGTGGCAGAGCTCAGGCCTAACCCCCACCTTCTGGCCCCTGTACCATACCTAACAGCTTCATGCAACTGGGAGAGTGTGAGCTTCAGAGCTGAGCAGGTCTACACTATCAGGAGGTTTAAATAAAGATACTGTAAATAAAAGAACCTATCACATGGTAGGTGTTCAAAAATTGTCTTCTCCTTTCCTATTCAACACTGAGGACTTGGGTTCAGCTGTCGATGAAGCTCTTTTGTGCCCAGAGCTTCCATTCTGAGACTTCTCCCCCAACCAGTGTTCTCCTCAAAGCCAAAGCAAGCAGAACCTTCAATTCTTCTCCTTCCCCGTCCCATTCCTAAAAGGATAGAGCAGTGAGGAGAGCTTGGGGTATGTGAGGGGGGATGTTGGTGGGGTCAACCATGGGGGTCTTTTCTCTCCCCTTGAATTCATCCCAGATACTCAGTTACCCACTTCTCCCACATGAAAAAGGCCTTCAGCCCATAGGGCTGAGCAGAAAGAACCTGATTGATGGAGTTAGGCAGCCTGGGTATGAATCCAGCTCAGACACTGACTTGAACTGTCCAAGCCTCAGTTTCCAGTCAGGTAGAGATAACATCCTCCCTCCCACGTTGTAAGGGAGGATTAAGGGGGATGTTATATGCAAAGTGCCTAGTACAGAGCCAGTCACAAAGTAGCTGCTCAACTAAATGTTTAGCTCCTCTCTTTCTCATTTAGCTTGGAAGTGGCTTTAGATTTACAAAGTGACAACCTAGTGGGATGGAGTGGCAACGTGTACTAAGAACCACCAAGAAAAGGAGCAAAGACCAAGCTTGGTTTGGGGCATTGCTGTCTATCCAGGTTCTCCATGTTCTTTATCCCAATATTTAATCCACACAACAGCCAGGGAAAGAGCCTGAACTCTTGGCTCCACATCGAGTGCTCTTCTCATCCTCCTAAGGATGTTCCTGGGCTACAGAGAAAGTCTGCACGATGGCCCAGGGTGCTGGGTGTGAAAGGGGCCCCAACTAGTGCCAGAGCACAAACTAAAAATGTTGCCTTTCTGTCTTTTAGGAAAACTTCGAGCAGAGATAGGTGAGTTCCAGACACCCTCCCTTCGAGATCTCTCCCTTCTGATCTTTTGGCATAACCGAAATGGTCATTTTCTCAGACCATCTCTGCTTCTGTCCCAGTATCTTGTGCTCCCTTCAGGTGGGAAACTCACTATTTAAAACTCTTATAACAAGCCAAGAATTGTAGAGTCTCACTCCTTCCCTGCCTTCGGTCAGGGTAGAAGCAAAATCCTATAGCTTCCCTTCCTTCACCATGTGTCATGACTAGAAATATTTTTAGGTGATTAAATAACAAAGGCTCAGAGGAGAAAAGATCCTCTTTGAGTGCCTCCTAAGTGCCTTTCCATTTGTTCTTCTTTCAGAGAATCTCCACCGGACTTTTGGTAAGTGCTGGGCCACCCTGGCCCTCCTAGGTCAGCTTCGAGTTTCACTGGTTCCAGTCACCTGGGGAAATAAGGACTCTGGCTCCTAATTGGATCCCTCCCTCTCTGCCTCTCTTTTTCTTCCTTTGACTAAGTTATGATCTGCATCTAGGATTGGTAAGATAAAAGATAAAAGATACTTTTACATGCCAGGCACGATACTAACGGCTTTACATATGTTAACACATTCTCTAGGAATTACAAGCACTTTATGCACATTACTGGATGTCCAGTTGGAGAGGTGATACATATACATCAACTAACTGAAGAACAAAGTACATATATGTCATTGATTGAACTCATGTGGTGAATGAGTTTTCATGAGTACAGAATGAGTAACTACACATGACCAATAAGGGAAGGCTTCTTGGAGGAAGACTGAAGACAGCAAGCCCCACTAGAATGTTGGTTTCTCAAGGATATGATCTCTGTCCTTTTGTTCACAGCAGACTGCTCAGTGCCTAAGGACAATGCCTACAACAGAAGGGCAGCCAAATATTTGTTGAATGGATGTTGCAGAGATTATGACGCCATAAGGCAGAGCACAGATGGTCCCTGCTCTGAGCAGCCTTCCTGAACAGCCTCTCCTGAGGCAGTAGGTGACCCTACGCTGCTCCCTTAGCACCTAGCACAACCAAGAACTTCATCCTAACATTTATGACATTGTATCAGTGTGCAGACCACACACACGCGTGTGCACACACACACAGTCTTTGCAACCCAAAGGGGAAGAATAGGATCTTTGTTTTGTAGGATTCAAATAGCAAAGGCTTTAACTCTTTTTGTACCGTGAATCTCTTTGGCAGTCTGGTGAAACCAGATGGATCCCTTCTCAGAATAATGTTTTGAAGTGTACACATAAAATATAACACATAGGATTACAAAGAAAACCATTGTATTGAAATACAGTTACCAAAATATAAACAAATTTGTGATATAGTAACACAAATGTTACTTTAAATAACAAAAACATATTAAATAAAAATGTAGCAGCAGGTCTAATAACTTGCAATTTCAAAATATTGATAACCATAAACAGTATTTTGAGACTTCTGCAACAATTCTAACAGGAATGAAAGCATCTGTGATACCCAATGATGATAAAGTCACAGACACTGCTAATAACTGGTTTGTTGCCTACATTTTTAATGGAAGAAAATCCTAAATTTAGTTAGGTTAGTGAAGATAAAGATATAGTGCTTTTCTCATCCAAGTTAGTTCATGGACTCCCTAGATTCTATCCAGACTCCTTTGGTGTTCTTAGATCCCAGGTTAAGAAATCCAATAACTAATGGAGAAGGGTGAGTGGGACATAAGGTGGAACACATGTTAATCCTGTTTGTTCTGTGGTGAATGATTCAGATCGCCACTTTCTGATGGTGCCCTGCTGGAAGATAACCCTGTTTGTAATTGTGCCGGTTCTCGGACCCCTGGTTGCCTTGATCATCTGCTACAACTGGCTACATCGAAGACTAGCAGGTGCAGTGGCACGGCAGCAACAGGACCACCAAGCAGCATGGGACCAAGTTGACCCTGACTGGGAAACAGAAAGAGGGTGGAACCAGGGCTCAAGATTCAGAGAGCAGAGATTTCCTTCCTCCTGTCCCCATGGCCAACCCTAGGATCCTCAGAGAATCTGTGAAGAGAACCACTTACTGAGATCTGTGGGGTCCCTTAGTGGAAAGGGAAGGGCGGGTCACTGAGAATCTGCACAGGGAGGATGTGGGGAGGAAGCTAGTCGTCTTCCACGAATCACCTATTTCTCTTTGTTTCCAGGGCAATTTCTTGAAGAACTACGTAAGTTCTCTTTTCCTTCTTATAAGCTGAGAACCAAAAACCAGGAAAGCAGTAAGAGGAAGAGGCGGGCTATTGAGGGATCAAAATCATGGAGAGGAGAGGCTGGAGAGCATGGACGAGGGGGGACTCCTGTGAGGTAGAAGTGAAGGTGGCCAACTGTTAGAGACAAGTTTCACAGGTGGCAGGGAGGGAAGCAGGGGCCATTCCTACCTGCTGTCTGATTTGCTCCACCATTACCGCCCCTCTGCAGGAATCCCATTCAAGCTGGCCTCCTTTCCCATTCTTTCCAGCAGCTGCCCTGTGCCTCACCTCTAAGACCAACCACTGAGGCAGGCACAGAGACAAGATGACCCTAGAGGGCTTTTCCTCTCCCTGAGTTAATGGTTTCATGACTGAAACTACTGACAGATTTTTCAAGTTATTTTCTCCTCCTTCTAGGAAACCCCTTCTGAGTGATGTTGCATCTTGGCAGGGGTGGAGAAGAGCCTGGATGGTCCAAGGATTGGTCCTTGGGGATGTCGCATCCATCAAGTTGCACACTCACTGGCCTCTTCACTATGGGGACATTTCAATCTGCACTTCCAGGAATGCTCTGAATTCCAAATAGGATTGATTTCTCTTCTTCTGTTATCTACCTTTTCTTTCTATCCCCCAACTCCTTCCTTCCTTTCCCCCTTTTTGCTACCCACATCTTTCCACTCTTCTCTCCATCTTCCATCTGGAAGCCCTCTCTGGCTTTGGCCAGGCAGGTGCTCTTCTCTCCATCAGAGGACACCTGTGCTGGAGAGTAATCCACACAGGAAGGTCTCTGCCATGAGTTGGAGACCAGGAACCTCTCATTGCAAATTATAGCATGCCAACTTTGCAAATTGTGGTTGTTTCTTCCAAGACCTCAGCCATGATGGGCAGAGCTGAGAGGTGTAGAGGGTTGAACAGAAGGAACAGGAAGAGTCCAAAACATCAGAGAGCTGAGTGAGCTGCAGAGTGAGGACGTGGGAAACCCTAACCAAAACTGGAGATAAGAGAAACCCATAGACTACTTCCCAGAGCCCCATCTCGCCTTGGCAGCCTACCAAGGAGCTCAGGAAGCAAGGGATGAAAACTGGACAGTGCACCTGCTTTAGAATGCCTCCCTTCTACTTGCACATCTTGTATGGATGGGTCCCTCAGACTCTTTCCCTCCTCTCATCTTTTTCTTCCCATGTTCATACCTATCAGAGTATCCACTGTTTTATTCAACAATTACTACTTGACGGTCTACCAAACACAAAGAAACAAGCTAGGTGCTAATTAATAATACGTGTCTCCGTGTGCCACTTCTTGTCCCTTTTCCTTTCTCCCTTTCCTTCATTACCTCATCACCTCTCTTCCTCTACCCCAGCCTCCTTACCCTGGAGGTCAGTCCTCAGGAAAACCAAACACAAAGAAAGACCTCCATCAGAAAGGCCATTTATTTATATTCCAAGCCCTTCACCGCCTCAACACTTTTTCCTCTGCGCACCTTCTCCCGCCCCTCCCTCCCCTCTCCTTGGGGTATGGATCCTAGGAGATCCATTTCCTTCCCTGCCTTGGAGGAGGCATCCTGAAAGGAGCCAAACCACTGACCCAGGATCTCTGAGCATTTATGGGGACTGCCCAGGCACAGCCCCTTGCCTTTGTAGCTCCCCCAATGACCCATAAGGCCCTCCTTCTCCCCAAAGCAGATGTCGCAGATAGGGCAACGGTAGATCTTCTGCTTCCAGTGAGTCTGCTGGTGCCTGACCAGCTCAGAGAATGAGTTGAAGGACTTGCTACAGTGGAAGCAGCGGTTGGGCTGCTCTGTGAGGTGGGCCTTCTGGTGGCTGGAGAGATAGGCTTTCTTGCTAAAAGTCAAGGGGCAATGAGGGCAAGAGAAGACTTTGAATCTTGAAGGCTTTGTTGGATGAGAGTTGGACTTGGTTTCCAGGCAGGGGGCCCTAGAGTTGGCTGCCTGGGTCCTATTCACAGGCCTAGGGGTGGTAATAACTTGTGCCCGAGTTCTCACAGTGACCACCTGGTTCTTGGCTACAGGTGCCTCCTTCTGAGCCTCAGGACCCTTGGTTCTAAATATGGGTCCTTGAGTCCTGGCCACTGGTGCATGGTTCCCAGCTGCAAGGCCCTGGATGGATACCTGGCTCCTGACAATGGGTCCCTGGAATCCAGCTGTGGTACCTGGAATCCTCACAATATGCTTCTGGTTTCCAGCCACTGGCTCCTGGTTTTGGTGTATCTTCTGGTGGCGTTTGAGCTCAGACTGGTCCCGGAAGCTCTTCCCACAGGAGCATGAATGGGGCCGGTAACCCAGATGGACACGGCGATGACGACTCAGTCCAGAAGCATCACAGTAGGTCTTGTCACAGAGTGAGCAACGGAAGGGCTTTTCCCCAAGATGCATGCGTGCGTGGTAGCTGAGGGCCTTGGGGTTCCGAAATGACTTCCCACACTGGCTGCAGTTGTTAGTCTGCTTGGGATTGTGAACAAACTGGTGGCTGCGGAGGTTGGAGCGCTTGCTGAAACACCTGCCACATATGTGGCAGGAAAAGGGTGGCCCAGTTGAAGATGCTGAGAACTCTGGGGTCCTGTCCATGGACCCAGCTAAATCAGAGGATGGGCTTGCCCCTCTGCAAGCAAGGGAGACTTTCCTGTCATCGCTAGTCCCCTCATCTCTCAAACTCTGAGTCTGTTCTTGAAGTTCCTCCTTCTTGCCTTCTGTAGTGAGTGGGGAGGAATAACAAGATTCACCATGAGAATCCCAACACGAGCTCTCCCTTCACTCTAAGCTACATCCTCTCCTTCTGCCTTCACTCTCCTACCCAATATATTCGCCTTCACTTTTGGACTTCATAGGCTAAAGATAAGAATAAACTTCTGGGTTTTCAAATTAAAAGCAAATAAAAATTTAACTGGAACCTTTCAATATCAGAGATCAAAATTTTAACCTACAACCACATTTCTTGAAATCCACTTCCTCTCATTTTCAGTATTGCCCATAGATACCCAGAGGTGATCTCATAATATATCATGCAAATTGGGACACTTGAGTGAAAGGAGGTGCTATTAGTAATCAAGCTAGGATGAGAAGTATAAACCAGGACTATCCTGGAAAACCAAGAGGTATGGTCAGCCTGGCCTTAAATTTCTCTCAAGTCCTTATTCTACTCTTCGGAAGAAGTCTCCCCTACTCCAACTCTGCATTAATCTCATCTCCCATCCTTTTCTTTTCTCTTGGGAAGGACTTTTTAATAAAAGGGGTATTGCTGACATAAGCAACCTACATGTAGTTCTCAATCCCTAGAAACTGAAGATATCCACTTGTCCTGAATGGCTTTGATATTCATCTTCTTGAAGCCAAAGGACTCGAGCAGATGATCTCAAGGTCTCTTCCAGCACCAAGTGTGACCAAGCTGGAAGGATTCAGGCTAGGAGAGGATATACAGAGCCCTGATCCTCTTAGGCAGCTTTCCATCCTTCCTTTCTCCTTTGCATTTCTTACCTGAAGGGAGGCCTTTTTCATTTTGGTGACAGAGATCTGCTCTCCACTGTTTCTCTTCTTGTTCAAGCTTGGTAGTCAGATTTGGATTAGACAGAAAGAATCTGGCTGGGGAGTGAGAAAGAGAGAAAGAGTTGAGGTCCCAGTCTTGGCCCCTTTACACCTGATGGGGACAACAGCTACCTTTTTCTGTATCCTTGGTTTAAGAATCACAATCTGGGACACAGACATACGGGGAGGAGAAACCCAAAAGGTTAGCTACCAACAAAGTGCCTGGTACATAATAGAAGTGATTGAGTAAACACTGGCTGAGTGAATAGATAAATTTGCATATTTTGAGAACACTCTTATCATGTTACAAGTGTTATCTTTGCCTTTACGCATACTTTCATTTTTTCTCTTTTTACCCTGTGCTTACTGACCCAGATCTTTCATACCTGGAAGGTATAGAACCAGTGGTCAGTGAGATGAATTGTAAGCTGATCTACTTGCCCAGGGAAACCAGATGCCCCAAGGTCCTAGGACAGAGGACTTCCTGTGGGAAGCCCAGCCTCTTACCCACAGACATCAGGTTTTCGAAGGTCTTTGACATAACATCCTGGTAGAGGACCCTCTGACTGGCATCCAGACATTCCCACTCTTCCCGGGTGAAATTCACTGCCACATCCTCAAAGGTGACCAGCTTCTGGAAGAGCAGTAGAGACTCAGGGAGTCTATATACATCAGAGATAGACATCTAGTCTCAAGATCCAGAAAACTAAGAGAAAAATAAACCATGGAAGTAGGGGAGAAATATGAAAAGACAGGCACAAAGCCAGCAACTGTCATGTATAGAAAGGTAGGAAGGATGGAGAGGAGAGAAGAAAAATGTGGGAGGAAAGGGCAGGGTGTACACCGAATATAAATAGGAAAAGAAGCAAAGGGGAAAAGGCTGCCACTCTGACAAGTTTCAGGACGTTCTCCATGACGGATGCCAGGGTGGTGCGGACCCTGAGAAAGGCCTTGCAGTCCCTTTTCCTAGGTGTTGTTCAGCTTGGAACAGTCCATGATTCCATTTGACCTGTAAACAGGGGAGTGGTCGAAAGAGCTCCTGAAGTCTAGGACCTGGTCCCTCCCTCTCTCTAGCTTGGTCTCCTCACCTTCACCCACGCCTTCTGCCAGCACTCTCTCTTCATATCTTCCTGCAGGACCTCCTCATCCACCTGAGGGAGCAGCTTCTGTACAGGTTCGACAGGCTTCAGATGGCCAAATGCCTTCTCTTTCATGGTATCTCTTTCTAGCTTTATTCACTCCTGGCCTGGTCCCCAAAGCTGACTGGTCTCCCTCCTGAGGCTATCTACCTCCCAGTAACTGAGCAGACGGAAAGGCTTTGCAAAGGCCTCAGGGTTTGATGTCGCTTCCTGTGACAAATGTATTTGCTCCAAGGGGCTGTCTTCCTTTTTTGTTCTGCTGTCAAAAATTCTCCTCTTTCACAACTGAGAACATCTTTGGTTCCCTCAAAGCCTAGGCTACAGAGTTCAGGGCCCCTGGTCCCCTTGGCTCAGCTGCCATTGTCCAGTAATGCCAAGTTGGGGCTACGAAAGCGTCTGCCTTCAGTTTCACCCTGCTTCCAGCCACCGGCTGGTGCCCACCTCTAGGAACCTGAGGTCAGAGAGAAACAAAACATATCAGCAAGGGTGGTTAGGGGGGTGAGGAACAACAGCTTCTTATTTGGTCAGGGGAACCAAGATTTATTCAACCCCCCTTCTGTGCCACTGAATCCTCTCAGCACTGCCCTGTGAGGTAACAATTACTGGCCCCATTTTAACAACCTAAAGTGTAGAGATGCTAAGTAACTTGCTCAGCGATGTTCTCGGTCCACAGCATAAACCCTAGACTCTGTACCACTGAGGACATGATTTCCACTGTCCCAAAGCATTCTCTAGAGCAACAATGGGGTACTCTGGAAAGAAAGCCTGTGCTTGAGGTTACGCTAGCCCAGGATCTGTCAGAAAGCACCTTGCACAAGTCTCTTCATTCTGATCTGGTTTCACTGGAAAATGAGATTAAAAATGTCACTTTCTAAGATCCTGTCTAGGGCCAAAAAACATATGATTCTATAGATTTTTAATACAATCAGATCCGTGTAAAGAATAATAGTGATAACAACCCAACAGCAAACACTTAGTTATCAGAGTTCGCTATGAGTCCAGCACTGGAGTTGCCTGCCCACCAGGCACTCAGTCCACCTCTTCTCTTAAGATGAAATGAAAAGAATAAAAACTTGTTGACCTTTTTTTTCTTTCAGTTTTTTGGATGGGTGGTGGAATTGTAAATACCAGCCAGGAAAAAGGCATTTAACAATGGGGTTGATCAGACCACTAGAAAGGAAGTTGACATGAAAGTTGCATTCCTGGGATCTGAAGTTGATTCCTCCCTTCCTCCCTCCCTCCCTTCCTTTCTTTCAAGACTATTCACAACCATTCTGTGAGGTGTGCACATCTGGATTAGTCTCCCACCCTCCAGCTGATCACACTAAAAGTAACACTTTGAAACAGTCTCAATAATAGTATCCTCCAGGACCTGGCTTTCCTGATCCCAAGCACAAAAGACCCACCTGGTCACTAGTTCTCAAAATGGAACTTGCTGGGTGGTAGGAAGAGGCCCTTGATCTAAATTCTAAACTAACCTTCTGTTTTGGAGAGGGAGCATGACTGTGGAGACTGAATTCCTGGCAGCTGCTGCTTGCCCCGGGTACTTCTACCTCCGATAGTCCTTTCTACAGCCCCAGAGCTCGCTCGGCTAGCTGGCGAATGGGAAGGGGGCTGGGTATAACTCAACAGACTTTTGGCTTGGAGGAGGGGGCCGGTCCCGCCCTTCAAGAACGTAAATCTCTCAGGCAATATGTCGCCATCTTCCAGTCCTCCGAATCCACCCAATCTCTAACTCAAAACCCTTCAGTGGTTTCCCACCGCAATTCTGAGAACGACCAAAATTCCCAACACACCTGCAAGGGCTCGTGGGATCCGCCCTGGCGGTCCCTATCCCTATGCTCCAGCCCACAGTTTTCTGCCCTCCAGCCTACCAAAATGGCCCTCGGGCATTCACCTCTGTCACGCGGCCTTTGGGTCTCTGCTCAGTCCTTCAAGGACCCTTTCCAGCCACCGTCCAGTCCTGCTGACTAGATCGCGGCCCCTGGTGGTGCTGGCCTCGGCCACGGCGCTCACCTTTTCTCACTGCGCGCCCGGCTCCCGCATTCCAGCCTTAAAGCTTCCCGGGCAGGAACGAAGACAGTTTTGCTCACCGTAGCACAGCACAGCAGGCTATGTGCTGAAAGCGGCTTACGTGCTCAAAAATGGTCCCCTTGACGGGGAGCACATTGCTCGACGCCCGTCTGCCCTGAAATTTCATTTCTGGGATCCCGACTTTCTCAACACTTGCTAGGAGCCCCTCCTTGGCGCCGAGGCCCCAAAGGGGCTGGAGTGGTCGGCACACCCGGCCAAACCCTTGACTGATCCAGGTTCCCCGCAGGAGACCAGAGGTTGGAAGCTCCTCCAAGATTAGGGGCGCAATGCTCCGTTCTCCTGCCGAGATCAGGGATGGAGGAACACGGAGTAAAGACCCTCCATTATCCTCGACTACCGCGAGCTCACCTCCCCGCTGCCCTACTCACCCGCCGCGTGCCGAGGACTAGACTTTGGGACTTGGGGTTTCCGGCGGGGGCGGCGGCGATCCGGGTCCAACCCAGCGCACACTTTCCCTGGCAGCGACCCCGCCCAGTCCCGGCCCCGCTGTCCCCCTCTGTTTCCGCTCCCTCGCAGTCCGCAAGCCCACCGCGTACCCTGCCCATCGACCTAGCTAAAGGGGCGGGCTCTCCAAGGTCAGGAGTTCACAATCTAAGAAATCTAAAAGGAAGAGACCCCGCCCAGCCCCACCCCGCGAGCCCCCCCGCCCCACCAGTTGTAAACACTGGGTCCCACCTAGCTCTAGGCTCTTTCCTTATTCCTAATCTTCATTTACCCTCGGAAAAAAGAGGATTAAACTACCTCTGATTAAAACGCACACAACCACCAACCACCATCATTTACAGCCCCATGGAGAAAAATGAGACCTTCACAGGCCCGCCCAGAAAGAGAGGTGGAGGCACAGAGCAGCTTCCAAAAGGGAAGAGCCAGCCCTGATGGTCTAGTGGTTAAAATTCCGCACTGAGGCTTGGGGGGGCCTGGGTTCTTTCCTGGTTGCCGAACCACACCAGCCGTCTGTCTGTCGGTTGCCATGCTGTGGTGGCAGCTCACACAGAAGAACCAGAAGGACTTACAACTAGGATATACAACCATGCACTGGGGCTTTGGGGAGAGAAATAAGAGAGGAAGATTGGTAACAAATGTCAGCTCAAGGCGAGTCTTTCCCTGCAAAATAAAGAAAAAAAAGAAAGAAAGAAAAGAAAAGGGAAGGCAAAGGGGGAGAGCACACACTGACTGCAGTGCTGACAGATAGCAGACAGAGGTGTGGGAGCAGAGAGGACTGGTCCAGGTCAGTTCCACTTATGTCGGTCACTTCCAAGTTCAACCTTTCTCAGCTGACATTCTTTTCTTCTTTTTTTTTTTTTTTACCACCTAATGAAAATCACTTTTATTTTCTTTCCATTTAATTAGCACTTATCATATTCCATTTTAGATTATGATCATTTTTATATTTCACATTGGCAGCAAGTTTTACAATTTACAAACTACTTGTGTAAACATGGCCTCCATTAAATCCTCAGAAATGCCCTGCCAGGTAGGAATTGTCCTTCTGTCTTTACAGGTGAGCCTGTCTAAGCCCACGTCCTGCTGCGCTGGTTTGCATCCTGTTACAGACCTTTTGTTTTCAAGTCTCTACACTGCTGTCTCAGCTCCATGGTTAGTACTGAGTAGCTGGCAGATACACGTTTCAAATCTCTTAGTGTTCCCAAAGTACCTGGCACAGTGCTCTGCCCCTTTCCAACAGACAACTCATGTCTGTGAGCTGAGGAGGCTCTTGCAGAGTGAGAGCGAGATAGTAGGTGGTGGCAGTGGTGGGAAAAGAAAGAGGCTGAAGCAGTCATGGAGATTACTACCATCTTCTGGCCAACGTGAAAACAGGCTGGGTATGTCAACTATGCTTTCCATTAACCATGAAGAAACTAAACCAGCAGCACCCAGGCAATCAGAGGCTCCTCACCACCTCCCCTGTCCTTGGAATGTACATTCTGCCCACCATTCCCACACTAGAACCTGTTTCAAGGACCTAGCCTTGGGAAAATAAGGTGTTGTTGAGATCATCTGGACTAAATACGTGACTGAACCCAGTTAACAGTGAACCTCTTTTAAGATTCCAGCAGGCAGGGGCCAGCCCATGGCGCAGAAGTTAAGTTCCCACGTTCCGCTTCAGCAGACAGGGGTTCACTGGTTCAGATCCCGGCTGTTGACATGCACCCCTTGGCAAGCCATGCTGTGGCAGGCCTCCCACATATAAAGTAGAAGAAGATAGACACGGATGTTAGCTCAAGGCCAGTCTTCCTCAGCAAAAAGAGGAGAATTGGCAGCAGATGTTAGCTCAGGTCTAATCTTCCTCAAAAAACAAAAAAAGATTCCAGCAGGTGGATGCAGAGATCTACTCTTCTTGCAGCCACCCAAGACAAGCCTCATATGTTAGTTCCCTTGCCTATTAAAACTGTCACCCACT